AAGGGGTAGTAGATGTGAAGAAACTGTCTACACATGATATTTTGGAGGATATGATGACAAAGGTAGTCTCGGTAAACAAGTTTACGCATTGCCTAGATTTGATTGGTGTGTGCAGTACTCAGTAGATCCCGTTTTAGGGTTCAGAGCAAGGCAAAGAGACATTCATGTAGATGAAGAGAATTCAAGCCAAGGGTAATATTTCTTAATTCTGCCTTGAAGTTTTCCCTTGTATGATTAGGAAACTCATTGTCCTAATAGATTTGAGAAACTAAAATAAATTGTCCTTTTAGAATTGGAAGAACCTTTCTTTTATAGGTTTGGACTATTTGAGGTCTCTATATAAGAGTTGTAGTTGGGGATCAATTAGCGCTTTACACTTCTTCTCTTTAATAGTGGAAAACTCTCTGCTTCTATTTGGAGGATTAGGCATAGTCAAACTTCGTTAAATTCTCATGTTTTTTTCATTCTCTATTAGCTTTGTGTGTGATTGTGTGCTAGTTGATCCACAATCTTTCGGCAGTATCAATGCTAGCCACAGACACCAAATCCAATTGTTAGTACCATCACTTTTGTGACCCCTACTGAAGAAGTTATGCCAAACTACATCACATAGTTTCATGCAGATGGACCTGATCATGCAAAATCAGAAAGGCTAGATGTTCAAAGGTTAAAGAGTCCCTACGGATTTTTACCCCTATTTAGGGACAACTTGTTCATTTCTTTTCCCTTTAGCAAATAAGTATGAAATTACCAGAAAAATGAATGTTCTGTGAAGGTTACTTTAGTATCATTCTTTCAAATGAAGGAATGAATCCAAGTTGGGAACGAGTTCCTAAAGGTTCATTCGACAATAAATTAACAAAATTGAAGTTAAAGCGTAGATAGAAGGCATAATACATTAACTAACAATCACACTTCACCTCAGTTGGCAAGTAAGCACTCCCACTTTGAGTAGGCACATCTAGACAACTCAACTCATCTCCAGTGTGTCAGTTGAACACTTCAACTTACAAAATTTTCATCTAGACACCCCTAATATTTATAGGTCATGTCACATTTGAGTGTCCACGAGACACAATGGAGTAGAGTTGGGAGCATTTAGTTATTAGTTGAGACCAAGTGGAGGTGTCTAGATGTGCACTCTCAAAGTTTAAGTGTTCATTTGTCAAGTTAGGCTAAGACGCTAAGTTTAGAAATAAGTTCTACAGAAACTACATTTTCTACCCTTTATGCTCCTGCTGAACACATATTCTTTGATACAATGTAAAGTTTATGAATAGGGCAAAACATCTTCTAGGGCACGTGGGTAACGAGGACCAAATCTTAATATAATTTGGACTAATCATGGACGGCAAAGTTAGGCTAACAATTAGGATTGATATCATTACTTTCTTCGGTGCCAGATGTTTGTTGAAATAGTCCTAATTAATTCAGCGCACTAACAACAAAATAATTGCTTATAACTCGACAAAGCGAACAGGAAGAGAGCAAGGCCCAAGAGACCACTTGAAAGGAAACGCCACATGTGAAAAGCTTGTTGATGCTCATGCACAACCCTATTTGGCACCAGCGGCTATTTTTAGAACTGGAATCATGCACACAAATACACTACTTAATTTGAAAATAAAAGCCCCAAAAGATCATCAATGACTCTAACCCCTAAAAGTGCTTCAGATTCAGATCATTCCAAGCAATAACAAGTAAATATCAACATCAATAAAAGATCAATTTTCCCCTTACACAGGATGAAAACTAGATATTCTTAGCTAGATAGAAAGCTTACCAAATCCATGGCTGGCATTATAGGCATCTGAAACCAATTGTGCATGTTGTATCTTTGTGTCGAAATAGCTCCTTGCTATCTTTTGTTCCTCTAGTTCAGAAAGTCCCTCCTTATATAAAAGTTATTGGTAAGAGAAAAAAAAGTAGACGCACTAGGAAGGTACCAAGACAAATAAGTTGAGCATAGCAAAACATGAATTATAAAATTGCATAGGCAGTGAAGTTCAAGGAATTTAATAACATGAGAAGCGTTAAAATCTGTATAAATGCCTTAAGATGCGCAAAATGCGTTGCCACAAGTTGAATAATTGGTTGACAGCAATTAATTTTGAAAACAAACTAGAAAACAATCACATTAGTAGAAAAGAAAAATGAAAAGGATTATATATATACTACCTTTTTGGGGGGTCATCGGCACCTGGAGTATTTGGTTGGCATAACTCTTCCTAGTACTCAAACTTTGAGAAACTAACTTGAATTGTTGAAGAGCTACTTGCATTTGATTAGACTGATTCCTGCTCATAGTTGTTAACGCTAGCCCTAGGTCTCCCACAAAAGTTGTATCAGATTCTTCCGGAAAAGAAATTGTAAGTTGTTGATGATCCAAACTGGAAGAAGACATTGTAAGTTGTTGGTTCATGATTTGCTGATAGTCCTTGTTTGTCACTCAAGTAGAACAACTCTTCTTCATGTGGGATGGTCGGAGTCCTGCTCTTCTTTAAATTGTCTTGTATTTCTCCCCAAGATACTTCATTTTTTTTTGGCAAATGAAGTGGTGTGGCTGATTTGTGAGCAAGAGATTGTTTAATGGAATCATTAAGTTGAACATAATCTAAACTAATTTTCCCTTTTTCAGTTTTCAATTTACGAGTCCCTTTAGGATTGTGATCGTGATTTCATCCTCTTTGGTCCAGGACTAACTTTTTCTGAAGTAGCTTTGTTTTTCTAAATCATTTTTTCTGAACCAGTAGCAGCAGGCATCAATTTTCCTCTCCTTAGCATTATCTCACAATCTGCATACCAACAATCAACAATGCTGTTTGTAACTTATTGAGAAAGACATAAAATCATGATTAAAGTTGTCTCGGATTTTTATAAATGCATTTTAACTTTGCGATTATCGTATTACCCCACTAAATAATTTTTAACAGATATTATTATACCATTTTTTGATCAGTCCCAAATTTTAAGAAGCAAGTAAGTTCACACACCAATCATTACAAGACATGTGTTAATTTAATTAAAAATATAATTTTTTTTCATTTAAATTTTTCCTTTATCTTTTACTTTCTCTATTTCTCTCTTTTTTCTCTCTCCCTTACTTTTTGAATTTTAATTTTGATATTATATTAAATTTTATTTCATCTTCCACCTCTCACTTTCAGGTGATTCATCCTTTCATTTTTTTTTTCATCACCTCCCACTCCCTATGTGAAATTAAAACCCACTTCCATTTTTTTTCTTTTTTTTTCTTCTTGTTCTCCGGTCAAATTCTTTATAAAATTCACACTATTATTGAGACTTTATTGAATTTTTCATAACAAAATTAATTATTTTTTAAAAAAAAATTAAGATTTTGAAGGTATCATAAACCACTCATTTTCATATAAATTCAAAATTCAAATTTTAATTTAAAAGAATCAAGTAATTTCTCGAAATTTGAAAAAACTTAACTGAAATTGGATAAAAAAATTATATGATACTTCCTAATCATCTTGAAATCTAATGAGTTTATCGAATTGTTCGAAATGTAAGAAAATATTTGCATAAAATTTTAACATTAAAGAGTGTAAAACTAAGAGTAATAAAAAAAAGAAAGGTGAATTTGTGGTAAAAATGATGACATTGAAAGTAAGAAGTTTCAATTAACGGAAATGACAATGAATTTTTGAAAACAAAGAAGAATGAAAGAGAAAACATAAAAAGGAAAAAAAGTTAAAATAATAAGAAAATATATTTTATGATAAAATACTTATAAAAATAAAATTATATTAGTTATTTTATGTTGCTCACTCTCTTTGAGAGAGTGTACACCACTCTCTATGTCAGATGCACGAAAAATGATATAAGTATATCTATTCAAAATTGTTTAGTGGTGTAATAGGACGGTCGCAAAGTTAAGGTGTTTCTTTAAAAATTCGGGACAACATCAGTGGTGACTTTTTGTCTTTTGTCTAACTTATTTACATACTACTAAATACATACCTTGGGGTGGTGAACAGGTTGTTGGAGTACCATCTTCCATCTTCAAACTAATCTGAGGTAGCAGACATCAATTTTTGTCTCCTTGGCATTATCTCACAATCTGCATATCAATGATCAACAATGTTGTTTGTAACTTATTTACATACTACTAAAATACATACCTTGGGGTTGTGAACAGGTTGTTGGAGTACCATCTTCCATATTCAAACTAATCTGAGGATTAATACGTTTCTTTTGCTTATTTGTAAGTAGTAAACTAAAGTAAAGTAATTAATAAAATATTTTAATGGAGAGGGAGAAGACGAAGAGTCATGCAACACAAATTTAAACACTTTAATCATTATTCTCATCATTTCCAATGCATAAATACTAGTATTCTAACCATATTTGTTATTATTGGGACAAAGAAAAGGATCATTCAGCAGCATGACGTTTGCACCATCTGTATCTGAATTATCAAATAGTATTACCTGTTATCCTAGAGAAGCTATTTTCCCATCGCTTTTCCCTTCATCATCACCTCAACGGTCGATCGATCCGGTAATGTATGTATCTGTGATGATGTGTCACTCTCATTGATATCCTTAGAATTAACAACTGCGCTCCAATTTTCCATCTCCAATTGAGATTGTATACTGAGTCTTAATATTTTTCTTAGTTTTCGATCTTCCTTTTCTTTTTTTTCTTTCTCGCCTGAGAATGACACATTTCACTTACTGATTTAGGACTTGAGTATGAAGGTTTGCATATTCATAGCGCAAGGGGAAACCAGTTACACAAGAAACTAAATGTAAAAACTAAAGAAGTCATCCGTAAATTCAGCAGTAAACAGAAGAAGATAAAATAGTAATACAAAAATCGTAGTACACTATTAAAAAAACATAATATGCCATGAAGAATTCCTACCGGCAGATTTTCCTTAAATTGACTTATCCTAGTACACTTGCAAGTCATGTAATACTGTCGAAGAGGAAAACTTGAAAAGGAAACAAAAGAAAATGATAAAAAAAAGCTTACTTTCCGGTGATTGATTTCAACATCCAATTGTAGCCAGTGGACAATTGCCCTCGTTCATAGGCTTTGGTGTATCTTCCCGGAGTACGCAGTCAGTTACTGTAACACCCCGTAGCAAAAATAGACCAAAAATCATTTTTTTCAGAAAAATCTGCAGGTGCAACCAACGGTGGCATCGACGGTCCGTCCTGCACAACTGTTGATGGGATCAGAAACTCCCAAAAATTCAGCCGGAAAAAATTGGCTAAGTCTTGATCAACGGACGGATCTACGGTTCGTAGGTCAGAGACGGTCCGTAGTCCATGACCGTTGATCGAGACCCTTATTAACCCACTCTCTGACAAGAGCTACGGATGACCAGCACGGTCCGTAGGCCTGACCGTAGGGGGAAAATTTGCAGAAAGTTAAAGGGAAATACACTTAGGTCAACTTTAAATGGTCATAACTCTTAGTACAAAATGAATTAGGTGTCACATGACCTACCCACAGATACATAGTTGAATTATCTTTCCATAGCCATCAACCTTGCTAAAATCAGACCTCCGAGTAAAAAATTATGCCCATTTTAGTAAAGGACTATCGAACATACCCAGTCGACGGACCCAATGATGGGGCGTCGGTTAGATGATGGACCGTCAGTCCTAGGCGTGGTTTGGTCTGACAACAACTTTTTAAGGGGTCTTTTTGACCTTTTCCACTTCGTTTAAACCCTAACTTAAGTCGTTTTGACCCTAAATCATCATATTTTAGTCAGTTTAAGCCTAGAAACATAATTAAAACATATCTAAGTCATATCATTAAATCAAAAGTTAGAAAATTAGAAGCAAGAAAGGAGAAAAAGCTCAAGAACCCTAGCTCAAGAACGAAGCAAGTTTCCAGCAATTCCAGCCCCAAAATTAAGTGTTTCTCCATGAATTACATCACCAGGTATGTGGGATTTCACTACTAGGTTCCTTTCACCCATTGGGTCCCTAGTTTTCAGTCAGATTCTTGATTCCATTATCATGATTAAGCCTAGGGTTTCTAGAACTTTGATAGAACTTCATGAACCTATTAAATACATGTTCCAAATCAGATTATCATGTTAATACTCAGATTATCACATGTATTTCAGAATCCTAGCTTTGTATTTCTTTAGTTCTTGAATTAACATGCTAGGTCAGATATTTCAGACACTTCAAATTTACATGTCTCAGTTATAAATGCATAATTACCATATCAATTGTTGCATTCTCAGTTTGCATGTTTAGTTTTGAGCTATTCAGTATTTACAGAAACTCAGACATAATCAGTAAATTTTCAGAATTCATGAGAGTAGCATAATACTGAGTTGTACTAGGGTTTAGCGTACTCAATAGTCCCAAAACTACTAGCCAAGTAGGTTGTAAGTCTCCTCTGTAAGCAACAGTTTAGTGATCACGCCAGCATGCCTTTATACCTTTGGACGGGTATATAAGATCCTCTCGATGGGGCGTATACATCGGACTCCACATTTAGCTCATGTGATTTTATTATCGGTTATTAGTAGCTCCCACAGTTTAGTCAGACTCTCTGCATTGACCATTTATCAATATATTCAGTATTTAGTTTCAGCATGTTATAAATTGGTCATTGCATCCAGTCAGTTCAGAATTCAGTTTATCATGTCAGATTATTATATTTGCTTTTATGCTTGTTCAGTTATGTTTTATTTCATCTTTACTCTATCATACATGCTCAGTATCTTTCAAGTACTGACGCATACGTGCACTATATCTTCTCGTGATGTAGATTCATGTTCTCAGCATCCAGATCACGTATAGATCGATTTTCGACCTCCAGTTCAACAGATTCAGTGGTGAGTCCTCAATCTCCGAGGACAACAGTCATAAGTTTCATTTCAGTCTTTAGTCATTTACTTTCAGTTTTTGCTAGATTTAGCTGGGGCTTGTCCCATAATTTCTAATCCACTTTAGAGGCTTATTTCAGACATAGTTAAATTCAGCTTAGTATTGAGTTAATACTTCCTTTGTATTAAACTCATTGTTTTCAAATATCTAAGTTATAGAACATGGGTATTCCCCATCTTTTCAGATTTAATTATGATTTAGCTTCCGCATCAGTTTATTATCTTTAGTATGCTCATGATCATGTCAGCAAGGTTAGCTTGGGATCACTTGTGCTCCTAGGTTCTGTGTCAGCGTCTCGAGGGTAGCTCGGGGCATGACAAAACTTGGTATCGGAGCACTAGGTTCAAGAGTCCTAGGATGTCTGAAAAGCCACACTAAGTAGAGTCATTTTCATGGGTGTGAAGTGCACCACATCTAATGAGAGGGAGGCTAGAAAATGTTTTCATGAAAACTTCACTTCTTGTTACTCGTATCGTGTGTAAGGTATGATCTAATTTCATTCTAACTCAACGTTGAGCGCTTAAGATCATGCCTTCTCGTAAATCTTAGGCATGGAATGCTAATGCACACAATGCTAACGCAGTTCCTTTAGTACTAGATAAGGAAGTTTAAATGCAGAGGTTTAGAGGGACAATTCAGCTTTTGGCTTAGAGTATAACCAACCAGAACAATGCAGAGTTTGTGATTTTGTTAGGATGAATCTGCCTAACTTTTTAAGGTTGCAAGTTGGTAAGAACCCACAGAATTTCATTAATAAGGTCAAGAAAATATTTGGTGTGATGTCAGTAACTCGTAGTGATAGGTGAGATTGGCATCCTACAAACTCAAGGATGTGACTCACATATGGTTCACTCAGTGGAAAGACAACAGACATGACTTTGTCTTTTGTAACTCAAGTTTAGCAGTCCAATTCAGTGTTAGTCCAGAAACTCCCTCAGAACCATTCTCAGTCTCTACTCCAGTCGGTGACCCAGTTATAGCTAGATGGGTATATAGAAATTGCCCTGTCACAGTCTCTCAGAAAGTCACCTCAGCAGATCTAGTAGAGTTAGAAATGGTAGACTTCGATGTCATTCTAGGCATGGATTGGTTACATTCATGTTATGCCTCAGTCGATTGTAGAACTAGGATTGTTCGTTTTCCATTTCCAGACGAACCAATCTTAGAATGAAAGGGTAGTAGCTTAACACCTATGGGTCAATTTATTTCTTACCTTAAGGCTAGAAAGATGATATCTAAGGGTTATCTCTATCATCTAGTTCGGGTTAAGGATTCTAGCCTTGAAACCCCAACTCTTGAGTCAGTTCCAGTAGTTTGTGTGTTTTCAGAAGTGTTTCCAGAAGATCTTCCCGGAGTCCCTCCCAAAAGGAAAATCGACTTTGGAATTGATCTCCTTCCAGATACCCAGCCTATTTCTATTCCTCCTTACAGAATGGCTCCAACAGAGCTTAAGGAATTCAAAGAGCAGTTGAAAGACCTTCTAGATAAAGGTTTCATCAAACCTAGTATTTCACCATGGGGTGCACCAGTGTTGTTCGTAAGGAAGAAAGATGGTTCCCTCAGAATGTGCAAGGTCACAATCAATAATAAGTATCACATCCCCAGGATTGATGACTTGTTTGACCAACTTCAGGGTGCTAGCCATTTCTCAAAGATAGACCTCAGATCGGGTTATCATCAGCTTAGAGTCAAAGATAGTGACATTCCAAAAACAGCCTTCAAAACTCAGTATGGTCATTATGAATTCGTAGTTATGTCGTTTGGACTAACTAATGCTCCTACAACTTTCATGGATTTGAGGAACAGAGTTTTCAAACAATACTTGAACATGTTCGTTATCGTCTTTATTGATGATATCCTCATTTACTCTAGGAGTGAGGAAGAACATGCAAGTCATTTGAGAGTTGTTCTGCAAACTCTCAAGGATCTCCAATTATTTGCTAAGTTTAGTAAATGTGAATTCTGATTGCAATCCGTTGCTTTTCTTGGTCACATTGTATCTAGTGAAGGGATCCGAGTGGATTCGCTGAAGATAGATGCAGTGGAACAGTGGCCCAGACCTACCTTTGCTACAAATATCAGAAGTTTCTTAGGTCAAGCAGGTTATTACAGAAGATTTGTGGAAGAATTTTCATCCATAGCCTCATCATTGACTAGGTTGACTCAGAAGATGGTCAAGTTCCAATGGTCAAATGATTGTGAGAAAAGATTCGCAGTATTGAAAACTAGATTGACTACAGCTCCTATCTTGACTCTACCAGAGGGTTCAGATGTTTATGTTATCTATTGTGATGCATCCAGAGTTGGCCTAGGTTGTGTGTTGATTCAGCGAGGTAAGGTGATAGCTTATGCCTCTAGGCAGCTTAAGGCGCATGAGAAGAACTATCAAACTCATGACCTCGAGCTTGCAGCAGTAGTTTTTGCACTCAAAATATGGAGACACTACTTGTATAGTGTCCATGTAGATGTGTTCACCGATCATAAGAGCCTTCAATATGTGTTCACCCAGAATGAGTTGAATCTTCGCCAGAGGAGATGACTTGAGTTCCTAAAGGATTATGATATGAGTGTGCATTATCATCCGGGTAAGGCTAATGTAGTAGTAGATGCTCTTAGTAGATTATCTATGGGTAGTGTAGCCCATGTTGAGGACGAAAGGAAGAAGCTAGTGAAAGATGTTCACAGACTTGCTCGCTTGGGAGTTCTCCTTATGAGCATATCTGACAATGGTGTAACAGTTCGGAATGAGGCAGAATCGTCTTTGGTAGTGGAGGTTAAGGAAAAGCAAGATAGTGATCCAATTGCTTGAACTTAAGGGCCAATCCATAATCAAAGAGTGGAGGTTTTCTCCCAAAGGGGAGATGGTGTACTTCGCTACCAGGGTAGATTGTGTGTTCCTGATGTGGGCGAGTTAAGAAAACACATATTCTTGCAGAAGCCCATAACTCTAGGTATTCTATTCATCCAGGTTCCACTAATATGTACCGCGATCTGCAGGAAGTCTATTGGTGGAATGGCATGAAGAGGGATATAGCAGACTTTGTGAGTAAGTGCCCCAATTGCCAGCAAGTCAAGGTAGAACATCAGAAACTAAGGGGTATGACTCAAGAGATCGATATTCTTACTTGGAAGTGGGATGTGATCAATATTGACTTCATCATATGATTACCGCGTACTCGCAAACAACATGACTCCATTTGGGTGATAGTTGATAGGATGACTAAGTCTTCTCGCTTCTTGGCGGTCAAGACTACATATTCGGCAGAAGACTACGCGAGGCTTTACATTAATGAGATTGTGAGGTTGT